GTGGGTGCAGTCTATAGAATTCCTAACACTAATGTGTCCGAATTCAACTCAAACCTTAGAAATCTAATACTAGATAACAGACTGAACAAAAACCATCTAATTATCGCATGGGACTTTAATATTGACCTCTGCGAGCCTGAACACCCTACTGCTGTTAGCTTCCTCAACTGTATGAATTCCTGCTTCCTCATACCCTTAATCACTAGACCTACTAGAATCACTGATAGTACTGCCACGACTGTAGATCACATCTGGACCAACATAACCTCTCCGCTTACTTCAGGAATAATCATCGATAGCACTACAGACCATTACCCCACATTTCTCCTAACAAACATTAACAAACCATCTCTAAGAGACAAGGGAGTTAAGCTTTAGGCTGAACAATGAAACTACTATAGACAATTTTATAACTGCTGCTGATAATGTCAACTGGGAGTCCGAGTTAGGCAACATAGGGAACATCAACCTAGCAGTGCAATCTTTTCTTCAAAAAACTCTCAGCCTTTATAACACCCACTGTCCTATGCTTACGAAACAAGTCACAACCAAAAGGCTTAACAATCCTTGGCTTACAAAGGGAATACTTAAATCCATTAATAAAAAACATGACCTTGAGAAGAAGTATAGGTTAGGAACCGTCTCCAAAGAATTCTCAAAGAATTACTCATTATTGCTATCTAAAATAATTAGACGAGTCAAAACTAAATACTACGAGGATAAATTTACCCAAATAAAGAGCAACATTAAAAAAAACTTGGAGCACAATTTCGCAAATATTGGGATCTAAGAAGATTTTAAATAACAAACCAACACTCCTGTCCAATAACGATGGTCAGCTTTCAGCTTCTGATTCTGCTATTGGATTCAATAGGTTCTTCTCTTCCATTGGGTCATCCCTTGCAAATGATATTCCATCTTCCAGTACTGATGTTAGGGACTATCTTACAGGTAACTATCCACAGTCTCTGTACCTAAAGCCTACTAATTCCACTGACGTTAATGAGATAATCCTTTCCCTTAAAACCAAGTCAAGTGCCCTTGAGGAGATACCAACTTTAATTTACAAAAAAGCCTCCAGATCTTTACCCCCTGCTATTGCATTGCTCTTTAACAAGTCACTTGAACTCCAAACCTTTCCAGATATTCTAAAAAAAGCGAGAATAACCCCTGTCCACAAATGTGGTGATCTCACAGATGTTAACAACTTCAGACCTATATCAATCCTGCCTAATTTGTCTAAAATATTTGAAAAACTAATCTACAAGCAGCTTTACTCGTATCTAGCCAAACACAATATACGTAGCTCTTGTCAATATGGCTTCAGACCCAAAAAAAGCACTAACGATGCACTTATTAGCATGATTAACTTGATTCATGCAGCTCTTGATAAAAATGAGTTCGTTATTTTGGGTTATTGGGTTATTTGTGGACCTGCGTAAGGCTTTTGATACTGTCAACCACCAAAATCTTCTTCTTAAATTACATCATTATGGAATCAGAGGACACTCCCTGCAATACCTCAAATCCAACCCGTTCTCGCAAATTTAATAAGTCAATATTGACTTATTAAATATGTGCATAGGTGACATACTTAACATAATAGATACCCTTAAAAAAATTCATAGAAAACACCGACCTTACCTAGCCTTGTTAGTATCTTAAGATAAGCATCTTATTGCTTCGTAATTACAATTATTACCTAACCTATAATAGGTATAGGTTAAGTAATAATTGTAATTACGAAGCAATAAGATGCTTATCTTAAGATACTAACAAGGTTAGGTAAGGTCGGTGTTTTCTATGACTCTTTTTAAGGGTATCTATTATGTTTAGTATATCACCTATGCACGTAGTTAATAAGTCAATATTGACTTTACGAATTTGCGAGAACGGGTTGCTCAAATCTTACCTTACTGACAGGCTCCAGTATGTTTCTGTGAATAATTCAATTTCTCCCACCCTACCCATCAACATCGGTGTTCCTCAGGGCAGCATACTTGGCCCTCTCCTCTTTCTCATCTACATTAATGACCTTCCAAATGCCTCCCAACACCTCAAACCAATTCTATTTGCTGACGACACAACCTTCATTTACTCCAGTCCTGACCCCCTTGCTCTAAATGCCACAGTAAATACTGAGCTAAATAAAGTCCATCTTTGGCTAACGGCCAACAAACTCACCCTCAATATTGACAAAACTTTCTATATTTTGTTTGGCAATAAATCCTCAAATCAAATAAATCTCAGGATTAACAATACCCAAATTTGTAACAAAGTAGATGGCAAATTCCTTGGCGTTCTCATTAACCACAAGCTGAATTTCCAGGGACACATTCTAAATATATCAAAAAAGTTTCAAAAACTGTTGGCATTCTTTCTAAGATCAGATATTATGTACCTCGCCCTGCCCTGGTGACACTCTATTACTCTCTCATCTATCCTTATCTCAACTATGGTATTTGTGTTTGGGGTTCTACTACCCAAAATCATTTACGTCCTCTAATTACTCAACACAAAGCTGCTATTAGGACAATATCTAACTCTGGCCCCAGACATCACTCAGTACCCTTACTCAAATCTCTGAATATGTTAGATATTAAGTCACTGCACATTCTCTCATGTGTATTATACATATATAAAACACTAAACTGTAATGCCAATCCTGACCTTAAAGCTTCCTAGAAGGTTGTAACAGATCCCATGAGCACCACACCAGAAACAAATACCTATTTGACATTCCAAGAGTACGACTTAGTCAAACTAGAAATGCTTTACAAATCAAGGGACCTCGAATGTGGAATGACCTTCCCAATTATGTTAAAGACTGTACCTCTCCCAACCAGTTTAAGATAAAAACTAAGTACCACCTAATTAACTTAATGTAACCTACCTCACCCCCAAAATGTCAACAGATGTCTACGATTTTAAACAATGCTGTTTGTTGACCAAATTGTATTTTTGCTTTTTTTCTGCCATGTTCCTCCCCCCCTTTTTTTCATTTTTTCTGTTTTTTTCTCAGTACAATTTATACTTTAATTTAAGTTAGTATTAAGTTTTAGTCTTAGTGTTTTTCCTGCCCGAAACGCTTTGTATAATAGTGGCTTTAGGCATTGTATGTACTAGCTCTATCTATGAATCCATCAACTTTTATATTTCACCTTGTATGTATGTACTTTACCTGAATAAATATTTGTATTTGTATTTGTATTTGTTGCTTTTACGTCCAACAGATGGCGCCGTTTAAAAAAAACAAGTTTTTACCTGTCACAGGTGTGGCATGTATATAGTAGGTATATAAAAACATGTGTGTATTCGAAGGCAATCTTGTGTCAAAATTTCAAAGCAATCGGTATAGAAGTTTCGGAGATTTCCCTCACATGAAAAATATTGTGTCAAAATTTCAGATCAATCTGTGAAGAACTTTTGGAGATTAGCGGTTTTGAACAAAACGAACATTTACATTTTCATTTATATAGAATAAGGACCTTCCTGAAACGCTAAGTGTGTTAGTGGATTTGCAAGAACGTAATGCTCAAACACCAACGTTATGTACTCTCACAACCCAATGTTTCTTCTTGTATATCAATAAATAAATACTGCTATCAGAGGCATTCGTTACACCTACACCTAACATGCCCAATCGTCTCGTCATGTGCGGGGATCCAACACTGTTTTCTATTATTACCACTAGTAGCGATTATTTTATTGTGCACCCAATACTCACCCTGTGAGCTGTAGTTTATTTTGCACCCAATACTTACCCAATGAACTGTAGTTTATTGTGCACCAAATATTCACCCTGTGAACTGTAGTTTGTTGTGCACTTAATACTCACCCTGTGAGCTGTGGTTTATTGTGCACCCCATACTCACCTTGTGAGCTGTAGTTTATTGTGCACCCAATACTCACCCTATGAGCTGTAGTTTATTGTGCACCCAATACTCACCCTACGAGCTGTAGTTTATTGTGCACCCAATACTCACCCTGTGAGCTGTAGTTTATTGTACACCCCATACTCACCCTACGAGCTGTAGTTTATTGTGCACCCAATACTCACCCTACGAGCTGTAGTTTATTGTGCACCCAATACTCACCCTGTGAGCTGTAGTTCATTGTGCACCCAATACTCACCCTACGAGCTGTAGTTTATTGTGCACCCAATACTCACCCTGTGAGCTGTAGTTTATTGTGCACCCCATACTTACCTTGTGAGCTGTAGTTTATTGTGCACCCAATACTTACCTTGTGAGCTGTAGTTTGTTGTGCACTCAATACTCACCCTGTAGCTGGTAGTGTATTGTGCACTCAATATTCACCCTGTAAGCAGTAGTTTATTGTGCACCCAATACTCACCCTGTAGCTGGTAGTGTATTGTGCACTCAATACTCACCCTGTAACTAGTAGTTTATTGTGCACTCAATACTCACCCTGTGAGCTGTAGTTTATTGTGCACCCAATACTCACCTTGTGAACTGTAGTTTATTGTGCATCCAATACTCACCCTGTAACCGGGAGTTTATTGTGCACCAAATACCCAGCCTGTGAGATGTAGTTTATTGTTCATCCAATACTCACCCTATGAGCTGTAGTTTATTGTGCACCCAATACTCACCCTGTAGCTGATAGTTTATTGTGCACCCAATACTCACCCTGTAGCTGATAGTTTATTGTGCACCCAATACTCACCCTATAACTGGTAGTTTATTGTGCACTGTTATGTCATGATCCCCAAGGCTTGTGGTGTAGAACTTTCTCCATAAATCAAGGAACCACCTGGACTCAAATCAATAAGTTCAAAATGTCCACGGTTAAGTGAATGAAATATTTAAATTCCCGATTGTGTGACGAGAACGAAGCCGACTGACATACCGCGCGGGACCTATCATCGCAGAGGCCTATAACAAAAAAAATGCAGAACTACATTGTTTTTATAATCGCACGAGTTAGAAAGAATAAAAAACGTGATTAGACTATGAAACAAAGGGTGATACGAGCCTTTTGATACGAGAGTGTGGGACTGCCACAGTGGGAGAGGGCGTCAGGGGAGGCGTTGACTGTGTGGGAGGCGAACCTGTGGGCCGCTCCATCACTACTCTCTCCTGACACCAACCACCTGTATTGGTAACATAGAGCTGTTGCACCATGGCGAAGCAGAGCTGTTTAATTGTGCTATCAGCGTCTCCCTTAGGTAAGGTTCCATGTGGCTGTAAGTCACTTCAGTTATGAGGTTAATGACGTACTGACAGTTCGCAGCTGTCAGACTTGACTGGTCTAGATGTACTGAGAAATATCCATAACCAGGCCCTGGACACCCAGTGGATATTCATCATTTGACTATGATGGATTACCACACTACGGAGAGGCTCGTGTATTAATATATTTGAAGTAGAGGCGGTGGGAGGCAGTACGTTGGTAGGGTGAGGGCACCTGTGTTCAGACCTACACCAGCTGAGAGCTATGTTACACGTTATATGATAGCTGCCAGCAGTATTTGAGACATAAAACATGTATATCAGATAAATACTTAATATATCCACTTACTATTGCATTTAAAGGTAATATAGTTTGTACAGAAATTCTTTGGAAAGTGAACTATTCAGTATCATTGTATTGGTAAACATACAGCACTTTCTAGCATGTAATGTGAGAATTGTCTAAATAATAAACTTTTCCTAACCTAAGAATCGTGAATTTGTTAGATATAGGATCTTTGGCTCCATCATAATATCTTATTGATAACATCCATGAAATTATGCTATTTTGCTCTTGCTCTTGTCAGTCTCTACCCGATTGTTTTCTCTTTTTACCTAACTTCTGTATTCTTCCTGGCTATCTACGGTGATCTTTATTTTACTTCTTGTTGTTTCTATTTTATGTGTATTTGCATTTATTGTTGTGTTCTGCTATAATTACTTTATATTTACAGCAGATTTAGTATTTAACTTTCTGTAATTGCTTGTCTTATTGTATCGTGACCCCATTGCATCTACATGCATACTGATATTGATCCTGATCCAAATCTTCTGTCTCATATCTACACCAATCAGCACATTGATCATCATGTTTGCCCGAAACGCATTGCGTAATAGTGGCTTTAGGCATTGTATGTACTAGCTCTATCTATATATCAATCCATTAATGTAACATCACTTGTATGTATGTACCTTACCTGAATAAACATATTTATTTATTTATTTATTTATTATTGCAGGTATTACACAGCAAATCTTGCAAAAAACAAACTCCTAAATAGCACCTGTTTATCAATTTACAACCAAAATGTTAATCACTAGGTAAACATTTTGATGATATAAATGCTCTACTCACAGTACTAGGTACTAAATTATCGTTCATTATTTTAACAGAAACTTGGCTAAGTAAAGACTGCCCAACTCTACAACTTAGCTGGTTATAAAGCCATTCACAACTACAGGCCTAATAAAAAAGGAGGTGGCACAGCAATATATTACCATGATATCTTCATCTGCAATAGTGTCATTAGTGATAGAGACAACTATTGTGAATATACCTTTGCCCAGTTCTCAAGTAAATCCCTTAAATCCTCCTTGACTATCGGTGCTATCTATAGATTTCCCAATACTAATATAGCTTCATTTTCAGATAACCTAAGGAATCTTATCATAAATAATAATCTCAACAAATATCACATCATTCTAGGAGGAGACTTCAATATTGACCTGGGTCTACAAAATAGCCCTCAAGTTGACTATTTCCATAACAGCATGAACTCCTGTATACTAATCCCCACAATCACCAAGCCCACCCAAGTCACTCAAACATCTGCCACTACCTTGGATCACTTATGGACTAATATAACAGCTCCCCTTGCATCTGGTATATTCTATGACAGAACAACTGACTACTATCCTATCTTCCTCACAGCAAACATGGACATAACACCACCAGTTTTTAGTTTAGTTCATTTATTATGCACCCCCATACCCATGCATAACACCACCAGAAAGCAAGAAACTCACATTCAAGCTACACAGTGAAGCAGCTGTAAGCAACCTCACAAATGCACTTCACAATATTAACTGGGAATCAGAATTCAATAATAAACAGGATATAAATTCATTAGCTAACCTCTTTCCCTCCAAAACTCTAAGCCTCTACAACAGTTGCCTAGGGGCCTGGTAGCCTGGTGGATAGCGCGCAGGGCTCATAATTCTGTGGCGTGGATCCGATTCCCGCACCAGGCAGAAACAAATGGGCAAAGTTTCTTTCACCCTGAATGCCCCCGTTACCTAGCAGTAAATAGGTACCTGGGAGTTAATCAGCTGTCACGGGCTGCTTCCTGGGGTGTGTGTGGTTTGGAAAAAAAAATAGTAGTAAACAGTTGATTGACAGTTGAAAGGCGGGCCGAAAGAGCAAAGCTCAACCCACACAAACAAAACTAGGTGAATACAGTCATTGTCCCCTCCTTATCAAACAAGTAACTGACAAAAGAATAAACCATCTGTGGCTCACAAGTGGCATATTCAAATCAATCAACAAGAAACATGAATATGAAAAGAAACTTAGGATTGGCCTAGTTACAAAGGAAGTACTGTAGTTAAAAGGTACTCATCAATGCTCACCATTATCATAAGAAAAGCAAAACTTTCATGTTATGAGAATAGATTCAAAGAAGCAAAAGGCAACATGAAAAGCACATGAAAAACCATCTCTAATATCCTAGGAACTAAATAACACTCAATCAGATAAAACTCTCTAAGGATGGCTATACACTGTCAACTGATTTAGAAATCAGTTGATTTAGAAAACAGTCTCCATGGTGTAGTGGTAAGACACTTGCCTGGCGTTCCGCGAGCGCTATGTCATGGGTTCGTATCCTGGCCGGGGAGGATTTACTGGGCGCAAATCCTTAACTGTAGCCTCTGTTTAACGCAGCAGTAAAATGTGTACTTGGATGAAAAAACGATTCATCGCGGCGGGAATCGTATTCCAGGGACCTGCCCAAAACGCTATGCGTACTAGTGGCTGTACAAGAATGTAACAACTCTTGTATATATCTCAAAAAAAAAAAAAAAAAAAAAAAAAAGAAATGGCAAATGAATTTAATTGCTTCTTTTCATCGGTTGGTGCTAACCTTGCCAAAAAAATCTCACTCATATTAACACATACCTCTCAGGCAACTATCCAAACTATCTTCTCCTTTCACCAGTCAGCTCGACAGATGTTGTGTCCATCATGTACTCACTAAAAACCAAAGCTGGGGACATCATTGAAATCCCATCCATTATATACAAGAGTGCCTCCCATGCCCTTGCACCACGCATAGCACTGCTGTTCAACAAATCTCTAGAGTGTCATACCTTCCCTGATATTCTTAAAAAAAGCAAGAGTAACGCCAGTTCATAAAGGAGGCAATCCTGCAGACATAATCAATTATAGACAAATATTAAACCTACCCTTACTATCAAAAATATTTGAAAAAATTATCTACAAACAGCTCTACTCCTACCTCATAAAATTTGACATACTCAGCCCCTGTCAGTTTGGCTTCCACTCCCAAAAGAGTACCAATGATGCAATTATTAGTCTCCTTGATATAATTTACTCAGCCCTTGACAAAAATGAGTTTCCAATTGGAATTTCCATTGACCTGAGAAAGGCCTTTGATACTGTTAATCACAACTACCTCTTATGTAAACTCCATCATTATGGAATCCGAGACCTTGCCCTGGACTATACCCAATCCTATCTTAGTGATAGATACCAATGTGTAGCCATCAATGATATAACCTCTTCCACTTTACCAATAACCCATTGCAGTGCCACAGGGCAGCATCTTGGGACCTCTCCTATTTCTTATATACTGTACATCAATGATCTGTCTAATGTCTCTAACATTCTTAAACCTACATTGTTTGCTGATGATACTACCCTCATCTACTCAGACCCCAACCCCCACACACTAAATAATGTTGTGAATAATGAATTAAAAAAAAGTCCAGTTATGGATGCCAACCAACAAACTAGCACTAAACATAGAAAAGACCTACTGCATCTCACTTTGAAGCAAATCAACAAATGCAATTCAGCTTCAGATAGACAATGTTAACATCAGTAATAAAAATGATGGAAAGTTTCTTGGCCTATTCCTAGACAAGAGATTCAACTTCAGCACCCACATACAATACATAACTAAGAAAGTCTCTAAACCAGTTGGTATACTCTCCAAAATCAGATATTATGTACCTAACTCTGCTCTCATTTCACTATATTATGCACTAATATATCCCTATCTTAATTATGGTATCTGTGCATGGGGTTCAACCACTGCAAACCACCTCAAGTCCATCATCACCCAGCAAAAATCTGATATCAGAATAATAACAAACTCTGCTTTCAGACAACACTCAGACCCCTTGTTTAAATCCCTAAACATGCTAAACATAAACTCACTCCACACATTCTCTTATGTCAGTTACATTTACAAAACCTAATTCTTAAATGTAAACCTTGCTCTGAAACTCTCCCCGGACAGATGTAATAGGACCCATTTTCACCACACCAGAAATAAATATCTCTGATATCCCCAGAGTCAAATTTAATCTGTGTAAACACTCTATGCAAATAAAGGGACCTAGTCTACGGAACTCATTCCCTAATGAATTGAAAAGCTGTCCAACTTTTGCCTCATTCAAAAATAAAAATAAAAAGTACCTAATTTCATCTTCATAGTTTCCTACCTTGTGCTTTAAAATTGCACTGTTATCTAGTGCTACCCAATTTCCCAATCTTTATGTACCTAATCTAAACAACTTTACCAATATGATCATTGCTGTCATATGTGCTATCAATATGCTGTATTGTGCCTATTAATCTTTGCTAAATTACCAATCACGCTGTCAGTGCAGTTAATCAGAGCTACCGATGTGCTTTAATATACAGTACCTACAGTACTAATCTCTCTCATCTAATTTTTTTTCTTGTAATGTACCTGTTATCATTTTATAAATTCTGCTAGAATTTACCTACTTAAAATTATCTGTTAGATTATCTGTTAGATTATGTTAACACATAATCACAATATCTCTGTAATTAACTAGAATGTAAGATCTCTAAGCAAACACTTTGATGATGTTAGTGCCTTGATTGAAATTGTTGACAACAAATTCTCTTTTATTATACTTACTGAAACGTGGTTAAAAGAAGATA